TTKSMAWYMACTACACTGAGGTTGACTCCTGATTCTCTCCTGGTTTATAAATGCATATATTTATCAACATTCCCCTTCCCTGATCTCAAGTGATTCATAAGGAATTAACACAGCCAATTAAAACAAAATAATTTCAATTATTAGCAAAGATAATGCAAAGCAAACTCCCAGGTAGCCCGTAAACACTGTAATATTTCATTGTTAAACAGACACAATTTCTGCACACTCATTAATTCAAGGGGTTCCGAAACACCTTTGTTTTGAAGGGTATTTTTGAAAGGTTTTTTGAAATATCTTTGTATTTCAAAAATCTCTGTAACACTTTTAAGCAAAGAATCCCCGTCACTTTTAATATAAGAATTATTTTAAGAATGTAACAACAGAAATTACATGTAAAAATGTAATAATTCAGTGTAAGAGCTGCCCCTGCAGTTGTTTTCAACCACTTATCAAATATCTCCTTTGCTGCGTTTCCATATTCAAAAAAGGCCCAGTGGAAAAATGACTTTCATTCCAGAATTAAGAGGTTTGACTGAGGGATCCCCTGGGCCACCAATAAATATCAAAGCAACTGCTCCCACCTCCCTGTGTGTACAAAAGGCAGTCCCACCTTGTTCAAACAACACCTGCCAATGGCCTGGAGGAACTCATTGGTTTTCTCGGGCTCGTGTCCAGCCACGACACGCACTGGCCTCACTGCCAGGGGCTCCCCTGTCACCAGCACCACCACATCGATGGCCTTCTGAAGGAACTGGATTTTGGAATCTTTATCCTGGCAAAAGAGTAAGTCAGAGATATTTTTAGCTCCACGATTAGGAGACGTGCTTGGGGTTCAGAATTACACTTCACGACTTGCCCCTTCGACGTCTTCCAGTGGTCATGGAAGATCAGAAATAAAACATAAACACACCAAATAAACAAATTAAAACTTTACTGGAGGGTTTCTGGCCCAGAGAATGAAATGCTGGTGTGAAGGAGAAAATGCAGTGGGGAGAAAACAGGGGTTTATTTAATAAAATGTAACAAAATGCTCCCCCCCTTCGGAAATAAAAAGGAAGGGAAAGAAATGCTGCAACCTCCTACTAAATAGTCATCCATCCTTCCTGAAATCTAATAATTTATGGAAGGAGACAAGGCATTATTCTAAACCAAATATGTTTTCAAATAAAGACCCAAACTTTCCTCCTCCATCCTCATCATTTCCAGGAGTTATCTGTGTGTTCTGTCCATGTAAGAAATCCTAATGGACCAGGAGGAAATCTACAGCTCCCACCTGCAGCAGGAAATCAAACTGTATCAAGATAGAAAGAGATATCTGAAACAGTGCTGAGTGTTTTTTATTGGGTGGATTTAAGGTATTTCCCTTATTTCAAGTGACAGAAATTGATACGTATATAAATATAATAAAATATAAATACTCTTTTTTTTTGTTTAATTAGAAACATTCACCTTTCAAAAACCTGTCGTGGCAATGAGTGTTGCAGATATATGCCAATCTATTTTATATAGACCATTTCATAATGTCATAGAAAACATTACATAATATACAAATATATAGAAGTATAAATATAATAAAATATAATAACTCTTTTTTTTTGTTTAATTAGAAACATTCACCTTTCAAAAACCTGTCGTGGCAATGAGTGTTGCACTGAAATGCCATTGATGTCCAGGCAGTGGGCACAGGCTCTGCCTGAGCTCACCCACAGAAGTGGGAATTTTCCGTTGGATTTAAACTTTGCAGCTCAAATTAATCCCCAGGGCTGTTTCTTTTCCTGTTGTTTGAGTGATTTCTTTGTATTGTTTGGCTGCCATGGAAAAAAAAAATCCCAGTGTCAGTCACTGAGAGGCTGCTCACCCCCCTGCCAAAATCCCAGTCACCCCACGAGCAAAGTTCCCCACTTGCAGGCACCCCAGCCAAGAATTCAGAGCAATCCATGGGAAGAGCAGGGACGGGATGGGGTGGGACGGGATAAACAAGTGAGTCATGGTGACCTCCTGGCCTCAGGCTCCTGGCCCTGCTGTGGGTTGCCCCTCCAGACAGCACAACCCTCTCCCCCCAGATCCCTTTGGGATCCCAAATCACTTTGGCTGAGTGTGTTTGCAGGACTGGTGGGAGCAGGAACCCCCTCTGGCCACCAGCAGGAAAAATCAAAATATTGGAACAGAGACATCCCAGGCCTTGGAGGTCCACTGCCAGTTACGTTTTTGGTGATTTGAGAGAGAGCTGTAGTAGAGGTGTCAGGAATTGCACTGTGGCCACGGGAGAGATTGCCCAGAGCCTGGTTGGGATGAGCCCAGCAGGTGGCATCAAAATTCCTGGCCTGACACCTGCAAACTGCCCTTCTATGTGGCCAAATATGAGGGCAGGTGCAGAGGTCCTGGCTGTTCCTGTCAGTGCTGCTCAGACACATCCTGGCCCCTCATCCTGCAGCTGGACTGGGAGATGCTCTGCCCTGGGGGAGTGCTGCTGGCTCCTCCCCACCAGCACCACTTAATTCCCTCTGCTGAGAGTCTCCCTCCTCTGCAGGGACTAGCACGGACCCAAACCTCCACCCTCTTCTCCTCCAGCCCTCTTCTGCAGGAAGAATCCCATCTTTTGTTGGGAATTGGCTTGTGACCAGCTCGCCCTGCCAAGAACCATGTGTGCTCTCGGCCAGAGGTGTGGTGGCTGAGCCTGTGCCAGATGTGCTCGTGTG